GGGGGCTGTAACTGTTGCAGTAGTAAATTGTTGGACGTGCTTTAGGCCGTTACCCACACAATGTAGAACATCTATGAGTTGAAGGCTTCCACCCTGCCTGCCAGGCAATCCGATCTGATCAAAATGTCCCATTCCAGCAGTCGGCAGGACACCCTCCATTACATAGAACTTATCCCCACTCGGGAATAGAACGCATGCCTTTTGCGTGTTACCACGAAGTGCTTGACTCTTATACCAGGCAGGATACAGGTCTGCAGTCTGCACCAAAGATTCTCTAATGTATACAGAGAACCTTTGTCTGCACTTCGTGTTCACTAGCTGGCATACTGGGCTATTTATTGATAGAGATCCACCCCGGGTGGCTTGTGTCAAGTCTCTGGTTTGCGTTGAGAGAATGTTAATGTCTGCCCACAACAGGTTTGGTTCAGATACCATCTCTAACAACAAGCACAGGCTGGTGCGACTCTCCAGATTTGATCGTCCATTCAGGGGTATCCGACACGCGTCTGGTGAGCCGATATTATCCACCCCCCCCCCCTCCACCCATCCCACCACTCAAATCTCAGACTTGAGCCTATATATTATATCATTCCCTTTGTTTGTTGGGATTTTTCTTTGTTTTTTTGTGTTGTTTGTTACTGTGTTGAAGCTTTCTGATCGAATTGTTCTTTCCAACAAGAGCCGGGTTTAGATCTACATTGTTTTATAATTTGTGAGGCAGCGAGGTGAAATCAGGTTCTCGTCAAAATAATCAAAGAGAAGAAACTTGTATTTTTTCGCAGGTTTGTGAATTTTATCAAATTTTTGTTTTTTGACTCAACACCTTTCATGCCCATTAAAGTACTCATTTCTGTGTGGATTTTTCTGAAAAACGGTGATTAAAAGCACAAAACAATGTACCTTGTCAGTTTCCGCGGACTCTTTAAGCTAAGGAAATAACTAATCTTTGGCGGCCATTTTCTCACTAATTTTACCTCTGAAAACAGATAACGCCACCTCCTTCATTCGCAACTATCTCGACTTGTATTCAAGATAAATGGATAATTTTTCATCCAAATAAAGACAAGTGAACACGCTTTAAGATGATACAAATAACTCTACATGCCCAAAACTGACGAGAGCCTGATTCCACCACGCTGCCTCACATTTGTATTTGACTTTTTACAGTCTATACTGAGAACGGCGAGATGCATCAAAACCAAAGTGTTGGGTTAGCTTACCTGCACCAACACACACCTACATGCACGCGCACACTTACACACGTACACACACATACATATACTCATATCGATAGATAGATAGATAGATAGATAGATAGATAGATAGATAGATAGATAGATAGAT